TTTGTTAATACTTAATTGGATTTCCATTATATCTTATGGGGAAAATTAATTTGGAATAAGTCAGATTCGGGATAAGTCAGTCACTCTGGAATGGATTAATTATGTAATCTGGGGGTCCACTGTATAACTTTTTTAGGAGTGGTGTTGGTGCATGGAGAATTAATTATCTTAAGAGATATTTTCTTGCAGTCTTTGATGAAAAAGGAAGGAAAATGTAAATCAGTGATGGTTTGGTGAATGTATGTACATTCCTCGTCAAGAAACTCAGGACTACAAATTTGGTGAGCTCTTGGGAAAAATCTGATGATGATGCCTCTTTTGGTCTTAGTATCTTGACTGGAATAGAAGTGTGTGAGATCATTTTTACTTGTAGGTTTCTGGTAAACTTGAAATCTTAGATTGTTATCTACCTTGTGGATGAGGACGTCTAAAAAAAGGTAGCTTGTCATTGGACTCTTCTTCTAGTGTAAACTGGATCACCAGTTCAACTGTGTTGAGCCCTGTCTGAAGATTCCATACTTCAAAACGTTTGGGAGTTACAGTGGACCCCCGGTATTCGATATTAATCCGTTCCTGAGAGCTCATCGAATACCGAAAATATTGAAAAGCGAATCAGTTTTCCCCATAAGAAATAATGGAAATCAAATTAATCCGTGCAAGACACCCAAAAGTATGAAAAAAAAAAATTTTTACCACATGAAATATTAATTTTAATACACACAAACTGAAGAAGACATGCACAGTTACATGACACTTACCTTTATTGAAGATCTGGTGATGATTGATGGGATGGGAGGAGGGGAGAGTGTGGATGGTGTTAGTGTTTAGAAGGGGAATCCCCTTCCATTAGGACTTGAGGTAGCAAGTTCTTTTCCGGGGTTACTTCCCTTCTTTTAATGCCACTAGGACCAGCTTGAGAGTCACTGGACCTCTGTCGCACAACAAATCTGTCCATAGAGCTCTGTACCTCCCGTTCCTTTACGATTTGTCTAAAATGGGCCACAACATTGTCATTGTAATAGTCACCAGCACGGCTTGCAATAGCTGTGTTAGGGTGATTTTCATCCATAAAGGTTTGCAGTTCAACCCACTGTGCACACATTTCCTTAATTTTTGAAGTAGGCACAATGGATTCCACAACTGGCATAGGCTTCTCAGGGTTAGCACCAAACCCTTCAAAATCTTTCTTAATTTCCATACTAATTCTCACCCTTTTTACCACAGGGTTGGCACTAGAAGCTTTCTTGGGGTCCATGGTGACTTATTTTGCAGAAACAAGCACCAAAAACAGTGATAATATGGAATGTGCCGAATGTATCCTTAGATGCGCGCACACTGGCTGGCTTGTAAACACTGGCACACACAGGGCAGTTCAGGCCACATGTGGACACGTCTCGTACGAATCGTATCGAGTACCGGGTTTTCAATTGGATACCGAGGCAAAATTTTTGTGTTAAAATGCATCGAATACCGGATTTATCGAATACCGATGCCATCGAATACCGGGGGTCCACTGTATTACATTACGTGGATGATGTCCTCGTAATAACTCCCAGGCACCATGAACCAGTCAATGCAGGGGTTTACACTATACCCTGTGGAGGCTGTGACAGGATTTATGTAAGTGAAATGCCAAGAAACCTCGAAACACACCTCAGTGAAGACAATGCATGTAGGAACAATAACTTGAACAACACCTGCTTACAACACCAAAATTCCACCAATCATCACATGAAATTCAGGGATGCCCGATTAATGATCAAAGAAACTAATTTCTGCAGATGCAAGTGCCTTGAATCAGCATTAATTGCTGTTTCTAACATAATTAAACAAAACAAAGGTAGCTTCATCATCTTTGAAGTCTTAGCAAGAATCCTCCTGAAAACAGTAAACCCTGCCATCACATAGTCTCTCCTGCTAATACTACACAAGCACATTACAGAGGAGGAACACTGAAACAGGCATTCTCTAATCCAACCTCCAACAGAAATATTTGTCTAACCTATTTTTATGCTACCCAAGTAATAGCTTTTATAACCTTTTACTCATGTGCAAGTTGATTGTTCTACCATATTGTATTACTACTACTACAACTAATATTACTACTAGTACTACCACTAACATTACACCTCACTCTAAGCCTATATATACCCTCTGTGTCCGTGTATTGTGTGTAATGGCTTGATAAAGCTCCTGGAGAGTGAAACATTGCCACAAAAAATGTCACATTAGTTGCATTTGTGCCCTTTTACTTAACAAGTGAGTCTTTGTTAGAATTCCCACTTTACTCATGGCTTAACCCTTTGAGGGTCCGTGCCATTGTTCTATGGGTTTAAAGCCAGGGTCCATGCCTCAGTACTATGTGAAGAGCTAAGCTCACTCAGGTAAGCTGTGAGTGGTAAATTTGGGCCTAGATCTGAGAGAATGGGTCTACGTGGTAAGTGTTTACCTGGAGTTTACCTGGAGAGAGTTCCGGGGGTCAACGCCCCCGCGGCCCGGTCTGAGACACACACAGTGCATAATGAGAAAAAAAAACTGTGACCATGCTTTTGGTTTAAAACAGCGACTTTGTGGTGTATTTCTGTACGATTTTTGTGGTTGTATTCACAGTTTCTTCATCTCATTTAATAAAATTGAAGATATACATTGTAGTACAAAAATAGAGATGATTTTGATTGGTTTTAGTACGGAAAATAACTTAAAGTTTAGCTCAACGTTGCTGATATTAAAGAGTAAGCAAATCGCATCATGCGTTTGGTACACTTCAACTGGTGGGTCTGCGTTCCCGAATGCACTGATATTATTTATACAGTTATTACAATATTATATTACAGTAAATCTTCTATTTTTTGATGTGAATTAAAATTCATGTATAAAGCCTGCAAACACAACTAATAAACAGAGAAAATGTTATTTTAGTGCCAGGAATGCCTGAATTGTTTATTCTGGACCCTATTTTAAAATTGGAATATTTTGAAATTTGTGTTAAATTGGCCAAATTACCAATTTCCGATCACTTTACTGGGAAGTTGAGATAGTTGATTGGGCTATTTCTTGTGCTCAGTTAATAAAATAGAAGGTATGCTAGCAAAATAGCTAAGAATTTGGTCAGCTGGATTAATGTAATTAACCTAAAATAGGCAAAATTGCTGATGTGTAAATATCACTGACAACAAAATTTGTGATAGCATAATTTTGTCAATTTCCATCAAATTTTGTACTCTTTATTTTGTTTTATTACCTTCAAGAAAAGGTTCTCTACCGTTTCATAAGAATAACAAAAAATTTGTTTGAAAATTCTTGGATCCTGTGGACAAGTTTCAGATCGGGGGTCTGGACCCTGAAAGGGTTAAATATGATAATATTGTTCCTTGTTAAAGTATTTGTTGAAAATGGATTCCCATTGTTTAAGGATCAGACATGTGCAACTTAAGCTTCTACTTTATTCTGAGTATGATGAGGCTATTTCATCACTATATTGGAATTTCACCTTAACCCTTTGAGGGTCGACAGGCTCTCTCTGAGACTCGTTCTCAGGGTCGGCCAAATTTAAAAAAAAAAAAAAATAAAAAAAAATTTCTTATGAAAAGATAGAGAATCTTTTCCCGATCATAATGATACCAAAAGTATGAAATTTGATGGAAAACTTAGGGAATTATGCTCTCGCGAAGTTAGTGGTCTAAGCGATGTTTACACATCGGCGATTTTGCCCACTTTGAGCCCCATTTTCGGCCAATTCCACTGTACTAGTCAACAAAAAACATGAATATTTCGCTAGAACTCCATTTTTTCTATCGAATGAGTGCAAGAAACCACCCATTTACCAATTTCAACTATCCAGTACAGTGGTCAGAATTTAGCAATTTTGCCAATTTCACACAAATTTCAAAAGATGCCAATTTCCAAATAGGGTCCAGAATAAACAAGAAAGACATTACTGGCACTAAAATGACATTTCCTCTGTTCATTAGTCACGTCTCAAGGCCCCTCTTACATTCTTTTGCTTTCCACTTTGAATTTTTATTCTCACAAAAAATAGAAGATTTACTGTTATGCAGACTACTGCATTAGTGTAAAAAAATGGTATAAATAATATTGGCACACTTGTGAAAGAATATTAGACTCACCAGTTGATGTGTATTGGACGCTTGGCATGATTTGTTTACTTTTGAACTTTGGTAAAAATCGAACATTTCTGCTACTTTGAGCTCAATTTCAAGGTACTTTTCATTGTAAAATCAGTCAAAATCATCTCAATTTCTGTAATATGTCTTACATTCTATAAAATGAGACCAAGAAAACTAGTATACAGCAATAAATACCATACAAAAATCCAGTGCAAAGTCGCTGTTTTATTCCAAAAAAACGGTCAAAGTTTTTTTTTCTCATTATGCACTGTGTGCTGCAGGATTTTTTTTTATACTGCGCACACTGACCACATAGACCCATTCTTTCATATGTAGGCCTACCAGCTTTCTCCCACTAGATTTGAGGGCACTAGAATTTAGGCATACTAGTACGTCAAAAACCCTGGGTCGTAAGCCGTACTAGTATGGCCGAAACCCTCAAAGGGTTAATACTCATTATTGTGTGACAAGACCCATTTCTAAATCCCACCCAAGGTAGTCATGCCACTTAACCATTTTTTCTTACCCCTCTCTTCCTATATAGCCACAACTTTTTTGCTACTCTATTCTACCCTAAGCAGCCACCTCCTCCCCATTCTTGTCATTGATCTTTGAGCAAAAAAGAAAAGCATAACAGTGTTCCAGGACTTTTTGATAATCTGATGTTGTTTACTTCTAGTATACTAATAAAATTCATAGCCATTATGTAGATAATCCTCTTGAACTGTAATCTGTTTCCTTAGTTTTCTAGTTATACATGAATAGAATTTAAATATTAAATGATTATACATGAATGCAGTTTAAATTTTAATTATACCTGAATATAATTTAAATTTTAAATAAATGTGCATTATTTTTAACATTACTCTTCAGGGACAAGCTATTGGAATGTGCCCAAAGCACAAACTTTTTCGTGGATACATTGACCTCGAAATCAAATTGCGAGAATTTGACCGCTGCCGTAAACTTTATGAAAAGTGGGCTGAATTTGACCCAGAAAATTGCAAAATGTGGATTCAGTTTGCAACTTTAGAGGCAATGTTGAATGATGTTGATCGAGCAAGAGGTATTTATGAACTTTCAATTGCACAACCACGACTTGATATGCCAGAATACATGTGGAAGTCATATATAGACTTTGAGGTAAGTTTCTTCTTGTGTATTTTGACAGTTGGAATGGAGGAGTATAGCCTTCATACTGTTTCATATGTTTGCATATATATATCCATGTGGATATTTGTTGCTGATACTGTACCATATAAGACTATAAATGTTGCCCTTGTGAGAATTGTCCAGTATTTCTATTGTGGTACTTGTGGCACCTGATTACATGCATAATTAGTTATTTTGTTCTTAGTTTTATGTATAGTTTTACTAGATTTATTATTTTATTTCATAACCAGACAATTTATGTTGTACTTTTTATCATAAAGCACTGAATCCATGTGGGTCATTCAGAGCAAGCAGTGATTTCTGATCTCTGACCTGCAAGGCTGTTAGTTATCATATAAGAAAGAGATTTACTTTAATGCATTCACTGTTGTATTCTGAGCACCTCTGCAAAAACATTGATTATGTGTGAGTGAGGTGAAAGTGTTGAATGATGATGAAAGTATTTTCTTTTTGGGGATTTTCTTTTTGGGTCACCCTGCCTCAGTGGGAGACAGCCGACTTGTTAAAAAAAAAAAAGCATTCACTGTCACTGTGATTAGCAAGAAAAATTATGATTAGACTAAACAGAGTTCTGTTGGTATGAAACTTTCAGTTAATAAATATGTAGTGAAGCTTTATATATTGAATATTTTTTTGACAGGTTGAACAGGAAGAATGGGACCATGTTAGAAGACTTTATGAACGACTTCTGGAGCGCACTCATCATGTGAAGGTTTGGATTAGCTACGCCAAATGTGAGCACTCAATACCCTCAGAGGATAATGTTGTTCATGCCCGGGCAGTATTCCAACGAGCAAATCGTGCTCTTCGGTCGTGCCAAGAGAAGGAGCAGCGGTTGATGCTTCTTGAAGCTTGGAAAGACTTTGAAGATGAATTTGGTGATAAAGAAAGTGAAGACAAGGTGAAGAACCTGATGCCTAGGAAAGTTACACGTCGTCGACAGGTTACTACAGACGACCGCTCACAGACTCGCTGGGAAGAATATATTGATTACATATTCCCAGATGATGAGGCAGCCAAACCATCACTGCTCTTGCTTGCAAAAGCTAAAGAATGGGTTAAGAAGCAACAAGAGCAGAAGCAAGAGTCAGAAGAGGTAAGTGGTAAGGCAGGAAAGCCAGGGTATGAAGAAACAACACCAGAGGTTGACCCTGATGTAGATCGTGATGACAGTGAAGTTGACGTTGGTTCATCAAGTAGTGAATCATCCAGTGAAAGTGATCAAGAAGAGGTGACAAAGTCAAGAAAAGATGGGAAAAGAAAACCTGCAGAAAAATGCAGTGAAGATAAGAGAATAAAAGTGAGTGGTAAGAGCAGGAATACAGATAGTTCAAGTTCTAGTGATGAGGAAAATGAAGGATTAAAAAATAGAGCGAGCAAAAGACACTATTCTGACTCAAGTGATGGAGAGAAGGAAGCAAGAAAGAAAAGGGAAGGTAAAAGAAGATCCTCAACAAGCTCTTCAAGTTCATCTGATAGTGAAGGTGAAAAAAGAAGATTCCCCCCAAAAAGATAGAAGAGGTCTTTTAGCAGTGATAACTTGGAATAAACAAGGCAGTAAGCATAATAGAAAGAAACCACTTCAGATGAAGAGTAAAGATTGTGGTCTGTAAGTAAAGATGCAAGTGCAAACCCAGCCTGCAGTGCAAGAAAACTTCAATTTTTTTTAATTAACTTTGTTTATATTTCAATTATGATATTGGATACCAATCACTTTGTCATACACTGTAAATAAAGAAAACTGAGAGCTGTAATATTTGACTCAATCGTAATGACGTGATTGCAAACAAACCATACCACGGGCGGGGATTGAACTCGTGGTGAGTGAGTCGTAAAACTCCAGGCCAGTGCATAACGTGCTGGCCTGGAGCTTTACGGCTCGCTCACCATGTGTTATATCCTCACCTGTAGTATGCTTTAACTGTAATATTTTCAGGAAGAATGCTCAAAATTTTGAAACATAATTATTACAGTACCTTGTTTTCTACTTTGACTGAGCAAGGAAATGCTTGACCAGAGACCATAGAAAAATAGGGCATACAGTAATAGTAGATGAATGATGTGGCAAAAAGCAAAAGCTAGTTCAGTATCACTTCACATGAGCACAATATGAACCGTGTGTATATTGTTGTTGGATGGAAAGGAGGGGTGGAGGGTTGTCTCAGGAGGGGGTTAAAGAGGGGATAAAGGAGAAGCAGTTTTATGGCTTGAAGTGCTGTGGGAGTATAAACAAGAGTCACCCTTTCTCAGTGGTATGTGGCTGGTGTGTTAAAAAGCACTTAGATGAATTTTAAACTGATCTTTTTTAGGTTGTAAATTTTTGTTGCGTTATATTACATTTTTTTGTTTTACACGTCAGCCATCTCCCACCGAGGCAAGGTGACCCAAAAAAGAAACACTTTCACCATCCTTCACACATAATCACTGTCTTTGCAGAGACAATCAGATATGACAGTTTAGATGTCACTCCAAACAGTCAATATCCCTAACCCCTCCTTTAACGTTTAGGCATTGTACTTCCCACCTCCAGGACTCAGTTCTTGCTACTTACATTTATACCTGGAGTATACCTGGAGAGAGATATAGGGTATACAGCTTCAATATTTGTAAATAACAATGGGTTAAAAGTTATTACTGTATTAATAATTGTTGATGGTGTAAAGCGTATCTGTAGAGTGACTTTAAGTAAAAATTCAGATTTTGATGGCTTCATTGCTCCGAGGAAAATATTTACTGACCTCAAAGAACAAAAAGGCACAATACCATGACTGGAACAGTACACAGATATCCCGCACATGAAGAGAGGAGCTTATGATGACGTTTCAGTCCGACTTGGAACATTTACAAAGTCACACTAACAGAAAGTAGAGAAGGAGGCAGTATATACAGTGGTCCCTCAATAATCGTCCATAATCCGTTCCTGGAAGTGGGACTATTATCGAAATGGACGATTTACGAATCAATTTTCCCCATAAGAAATAATGTAAATAAAATTAATCCGTTACTGAAACCCAGAAGTATTAAAACAAAAAATTTTTTTACATGAAATATAGATGTAGTACATAAACAATAGAGTGGCACATGATGAATTAAACATTAACAGAATAACACTTACCTTTATTGGCAATTCTTCTTTGTGTATGGAAGACTGGAGAATGAGACTGATTGGATGATTTACTGTTTGGAAGGGGAATTCCCTTCCCTCAACACCTCGGGTACCAATTGCTTTTCTGGGGTTACTTCTCTTCTCTGTTTCTTAATGCCAGTAATGTAGGTCCTCTTTGGCATTTTCTTCCAAAAGAGGCCTGTTTCATCACAATTGAACACTTGTTCAGGTTTCAGTCCTTCACTGTTTATGTACTCCTTGAATTCATGCACATATTTTTCAACCGCCTTGTGGTCTGAACTGGCAGCCTCACCATGCCTTACCACACTGTGTATAAGAACATAAGAAAGGAGGAACACTGCAGCAGGCCTGTTGGCCCATACTAGGCAGGTCCTTTACAATTCATCCCACTAACAAACATTTGACCAACCCAATTTTCAATGCTACCCAAGAAATAAGCTCTGATGTGCAAGTCCCACTCAAATCCAACCCCTCCCACTCATGTACTTATCCAGCCTAAATTTGAAACTACCCAAAGTCCTAGCCTCAATAACCCAACTAGGTAGACTGTTCCACTCATCAACTACCCTATTTCCAAACCAATACTTTCCTATGTCCTTTCTAAATCTAAACTTATCCAATTTAAATCCATTACTGCGGGTTCTCTCTTGGAGAGATATCCTCAAGACCTTGTTAATATCCCCCTTATTAATACCTATCTTCCACTTATACACTTCGATCAGGTCTCCCCTCATTCTTCGTCTAACAAGTGAATGTAACTTAAGAGTCTTCAATCTTTCTTCATAAGGAAGATTTCTAATGCTATGTATTAATTTAGTCATCCTACGCTGAATGTTTTCTAACGAATTTATGTCCATTCTGTAATATGGAGACCAGAATTGAGCTGCATAATCTAGGTGAGGCCTTACCAATGATGTATAAAGCTGCAGTATGACCTGGACTTCTGTTGCTTACACTTCTTGATATAAATCCCAGTAATCTGTTTGCCTTATTACGTACGCTTAGGCATTGCTGTCTTGGTTTAAGGTTGCTGCTTACCATAACCCCCAAGTCCTTTTCGCAATCTGTATGGCTAAGTTCTACATTATTTAACTTATAAGTGCTAGGGTTATGGACACTCCCGAGCTTCAGAACCTTGCATTTATCTACATTGAACTGCATCTGCCACTTTTCTGACCAAGAATAGAGTTTGTTTAAATCCTCCTGAAGTTCCCTAACATCTATGTTTGAATCAATTATCCTACCTATCTTCGTGTCATCGGCGAATTTGCTCATATCACTAGTAATTCCCTCATCAAGATCATTGATATATATTATAAACAACAACGGGCCCAAGACTGATCCCTGTGGAACGCCACTTGTTACTGATCCCCACTCGGATTTAACCCCATTATGGACACTCTCTGCTTCCTGTCTGTGAGCCATGATTCGATCCACGAGAGCACCCTTCCCCCAATGCCATGAGCTGCTACTTTCTTCAACAGTCTTTGGTGCAGAACTCTATCAAATGCCTTACTAAAATCTAAGTATATAATATCAAATTCTTTATCGTGGTCAACAGCCTCAAAAGCTTTACTGAAGAAAGTTAATAAATTAGTTAGACAAGACCGGCCTCTTGTGAATCCATGCTGAGTGTCATTAATCAAGCTATGCTTATCGAGATGGCTTCTTATAATCTCAGCTATAATTGACTCTAGTAATTTGCCTACAATTGAGGTCAGGCTTATTGGGCGGTAATTTGACGGTAACGACTTGTCCCCTGTTTTAAAAATAGGAATTACATTAGCCATCTTCCACCACTCCAATACGCTTCTTAAATCTCTCAAACCAGCCTTTGCTGGCCTTAAATTCACTCACATCACCACTAGTTGCAGGCAATTTCTTTACCAAATCGTCATGCGACTGCCTAGCCTTTTCACAAATAAGCGACGTCATAAGACTATCTCCTGCTAATTGTTTCTCATTTATCCACACCAATGATAACTTCTCAACATCTTCGAGTTGATTTCCTTGATTTCTTTTTTCTTGGCTATGATGGAAGATATGGCTGTACGGGATTTGTTATACATCCTCGCCAGTTCGCCCACACATACGCCACTATCATATTGTTCAATGATGTTTTTCTTAAATTCAATCGTATTTCTCACCTTCTTTACCAAAGGCTTGGCACTAGGAGCTTTCTTTGGAGCCATGGTAGCTTATTTAGCACTTAAATAACTTGCAAGCACTAAAGTAAATGGAATATTATGAAATATTTCGCTGGAGCACGTGAGGGGACCGTCGCTTTCTGGTAAACACTGGCACACTGGCTGGGAAGGAAAGGCCGAGGCGGCTCAGAGCGTGAGTATGCGTCCGGGACGAAGGACTATTAGTGAGTTACTGGACCATTTGCGAGCCAATATTTTGATGAAAAAACAGGACTATTTCCGAAATGGACGACTTTCAGGCCGGACGATTGTTGAGGGACCACTGTATAGGCCAGCTGACAGGGACAGGACAAGAGAGGTAGTAAGAAAGGAAGTAGAGAGCTGTTAGTAGTAGTAGTAGTAGCAGCAGTTAGTAGTAGTAGAGTCAGTCACAGGCCAAGAAAGAGTAGCACTGCAGTAGAGCTAAGGGTCCACAAGGGGTAAGAACAAAAAGGGGGGGGGAGGGGGCTAAATACCCAAGGCAGAAGAAAGAAAACCCAAAGTAGAAGAAAAAGGGAAAAAGGAAAGGGGAAGAAGTAGAAAGAGAACGAGAAAAAAAAAATCAGGTTAAATCATGGGTATTCTGAAGTTTGTAGCTTTTACAATGTAATGGGAAATTAAGGCATCTACAGAGACAAAGCTAGGACTAAGGTTCATACAAGGAAAGTTGTGTATAAGGGAGGATTCACCCAGTAGGGTAGACAGTTTTAGCATAAGACCAGTCAGTGGGATGACTGTGATCTCGGACATGACAGAAAAGAGTATTGTTGGTGTCTGCAAGCCTAACACTACTTTTGTGCTCCTTGAGTCTGTCTCTTGTCTCATCCCTGTCAGCTGGCCTCTCTATACCGGCTCCTCTCCTTTCTGTTAGTGTGACTTTATAAATGGTCCAAGTCGGACTGAAATGCTTTCTAAGCTCCTTTCTCCTATGTGCGGGTTATTTGTGTATCTAGTGACCTCATTTGGGGGTTGCAACTCCAGGGTTGAAAACCACAGTAGAGTGAATTACCACAAAAAAATCCAGTGGTGTGATTTACTTACACTACTCTCTACAGCACTCAGCCTGGATCCAACTTGATTATTATAGTCACTGAAAACTTTTTTAACATTTCTAGTTATAAGGAATAATGAATAAAGTTCTGGAAACCTATCTGAACATACATCACCCTTTCAACTGAACTTAATCAGCAGTGCAGTCTCTCATATTCACTGCACTTGACACATTCCTGAGAAAGTTCCCATAAGCTGTAACTTCATTACATTACTGCAAAATGTAGCATGTTGTTAACATCATGTGATGGCAGCATAAGGTAAGAAGTAGACTGTTTAATGCAATAGTATATAAGGAGAAATCTTAGAATTAGAAAATTACACACTTATAACACAGAACAATTGCTTTAAATTTCAGTACTTGCCTGTATTTTGGGGCAGTCATACAGCGTTATGCTAGAAAACGTGACATTAGTTAGAGATTACTTGCTGTTGGCATATTCATTTCATACACTTATGGCTTTCCCTGATTGGCTAATACCAGTGATAAAAGGTCAATATCACTGATCAATAGCACCATTAGTAGGAAGTGTAGCATGGATTTTTGGCCAGTTTAATGACAAGGCCATTTTGTGATGTGGGATGATGAATGAAAATGAAGCAATCCTTAATCCCTTAACTGTCCAAACATAGATCTACATTCTCTTGCCCAGTACTCTGAATAGTATTCCAAAAAAAAAAAACACTTTTTTTTTTAAATAAAAAGGACATTTTTTTTTACATGTAATAAGTTAAGAAAAAAAATTTTAGTTGGTACTTATGGAGATACAAGACCGCAAAGTCAGTGCTTGTCACTCATCTGACGGCAGCGTGAACCATTGCCACTTGCAGAAGTGTTGCCAATATACCTTTTTTCATTTTTTTTAATTTAAATAATTTTTATGTTCTTAGACAGGGATGTGTAATGTCACCATGGTTGTTTAATATATTTATAGATGGGGTTGTAAAAGAAGTAAATGCTAGGGTGTTCAGGAGAGGGGTGGGATTAAATTATGGGGAATTTAATTTAAAAATGGGAATTGACAAAGTTGCTTTTTGCTGATGATACTGTGCTTATGGGAGATGCTAAAGAAAAATTGCAAAGGTTAGTGGATGAGTTTGGGAGTGTGTGTAAAGGTAGAAAGTTGAAAGTGAACATAGAAAAGAGTAAGGTGATGAGGGTATCAAATGATTTAGATAAAGAAAAATTGGATATCAAATTGGGGAGGAGGAGTATGGAAGAAGTGAATGTTTTCAGTTACTGTACTTGGGAGTTGATGTGTCGGCAGATGGATTTATGAAGGATGAGGTTAATCATAGAATTGATGAGGAAAAAAAAGGTGAGTAGTGCGTTGAGGT